TCAAAAAGCGTTCTTGTGGTTTTCTTTTTTCACAGATCCAAGCTTGTGTGAACGAAATCTGCATTTTCTGTAGCGCGGCGCGCATTCGTTCTGCTATAGGTGCGTTGCGATTGATTTGGCTGACATTTGCAAGGAAAAAATCGAAATCGTGACGTGCTTGGTTCCAGAGTTGGAGCAACCCAAACTTCAACCCCTGAGGCTTGACCTCGAGGCTCTCCAACTCCAAGTCTCGAACTCGGCTTAAAATCCACATAAAATTGCTCTGGCAGGCAAGAAAATAGAGAACGAAACAATGCAAAAGAAATGTCGAAATCCAAACACAACTGAAACAAGCAAGTTCGATTTGGCATCCCAATAGGAATGGGAGCCTGCCGAAAATTGTCGATTTCTTAACGAAGTGCGGGAAGAGCCCTGACATCCAACTGAGTGCACCTCCATGCTGGAGCACACTCTTTACCCTGCATGGTGTGTCGCCACTTACCATGTTTGAGCTTATTCTTGACCTGTACGGTGCTTCAGAGGGGTAGCAGCTACCGTAATCCCAGATGTTGTCCTGCATACAAACCTGGTGAACTGCTTTATGTTTTTTGGAACCACTTTTTTTGCCAAGCACTCTTTGGCGCGTAGCAAAAAAAATCGACCACCCAAAAGCGTTCTTAGGCTTTAACTTTTCGTGTGCGGACAAGCCTTCGTGCTTTCCCTTTCGAAAAAAGAGAAAAAGTTGGTTTTGTTGATTGAAAGAGTACAGTGTTGCCGTGAGGTGCATGTAGGTTAGTGAGTGGAGAAACACAGTGTTGAAGTTGAGTGTGTGCTTACTAAAGCACACATGTTTGGCAGCCGTTGAGTGCGTGTCACCACTTTTTCTTGATTAAAAAAACAATCTTTTTGTCTTCCTCTTTGTTTTGCTTTGCTCCAAACCCAAGATTTGCAAGGAGTGTGCATTTTCATCTGATTTCGCGCGTCTCAAATTGATTGCCAAGTTCCAATACAATTCAATAAATCTAGCAAAACCAACATGCTTGACACCTCCCTGTAACCCTTCCCTTCTCCCTTCTTAAGACTCTCTTGAGGGTGTGACCCTTAAGTCTTTTCTTGAAGCCCCTTAAGTCCCGCTTGAAGCCCTCCTTAAGCTTCCCTTCGTCGAAGATCTGGGGCCCAGCCCAAAAAAGAAGGCGACTCCAGCAAACAAATAATTCTTTGCAAGCAATTTGACATGTTTTATCTGGAAAACATGGTTTGTAGATGGTATTTTCATTTTTGATGTTGTTCACATTTTGCTGTTGCCCAACTGCCCATGCTCCACAAAGCACAGCAGCAAACTTGGCGACACACCTTGCGTGTTAAAAATAAGCTCAGACATAGCGACACACTGACACTGTGCAGAAGCAAGCATGGTGGCACACCATACAGGTTAAGAACAAGCGTAAACATGCGTGGCGGCACGCCAATAGGCTTTTGAAAAGCACAAACATGGCGGTGCATGGCGTTCAAGAACAGCAGCCAACCTGGCGGCAGACGGTGAAACCACATGTAAAGCAGACATGGCGTTGCACCATACCAGTCAAGCTTGCCCACCAACATGGTTGCGCACCATACCGAACGAGCGTGGCAGTTATAACAGATCCGCGAAAGGAAGGCCGAGTGCTGTTGCTGTCGAGTCTTCGAGGCAGGATGTTGCCTGCCTATGTCTCATCATATTTGGATTGCAGTTTGGGGTGCCGAAAGACCCGATCTCTGAGCCTTATAGCGTATCTGGACCTTGGAAAAAACCTACACCATTTCCCTTGAGAGTCCAGCCCGTATCCGTGGCCTCAAACATCTGCAATGCTTCTTGAGTGCTGCACTTGCTGATTAGCCTAGACATCCCGCAACACACGCATATTTGCAGGACACGACAGCCGTGTTGCTGTTACCCGAGGTTGAGCAGATTCACGCCTTCAGGCAGTGTCCGGATAGAGACGTTGCGTTCGGATGGCACGGGATTCGCATGGCTCAAGCTTGTGTGATGTCGCGGGAAGCCGTGGCATCGCAACTTGGTTTGAGGCTCTGCTGAATTGCGGACTGGTCGTTGAAGGGGTTTGTTGGCCAATTGTCAGCAAGTTCATGTTGATCGACCAAGGATATCGTACTTGTAGTGGCAGCAGGTTGGAGCTTGGCTCGAGAAGGCAGGCGGCTACAAGCAATACTTGGACACAAGCGTGTCCTCTGTTTTGTCTTTTGTCAGGCAGAGGATCCTGTTGCCGACATGCCGTTCTCCAGGCCAGCTTCCGCTGTCTTCGCAACAGGGAGTACGGGTATATACCCGAAACACAACTGCAACAACTTGGCTCGTGATGGCGGTGTTTAACAAACATTGTACGATTCGAATTCGGGTGGACGAGCGATGTTTCGGTATGTGGTGTATTTCTGGCGAGACAGTGTGTGCACCAGCTTGACTGTCATGGTTCAACCACTCCCCTCTCGGAATCTGCAAATAAAGGGGGTCACACTGCGGCTCAACATTTCCCAGAGGCGTGGCATTTGCAGCAAGATCGCAGTGCAAGATGCTAGCCCAGCAACTATTCCAGCACCGTGAACGTTGAAACCATGCACAACTGTTCTACTGATGCCAGAAACCCTCCGTTTGTTTCGACATTTTCGATTTGCAAGACGCCACGAAGAAACTGCACCGACCAACACAAGTTTATCCTGGTGGCTGCAACATCTCTGCGCGCAAGGGACATACTACTATGCGATCATCAGAAGAGGCGTGTTACTAGTGTTTTGGATTGAAGCTGCTTAAATTCTCGTCTGTGGTTAGTGCTACTAACCCACAGCAGGAAACACGGAACTGCAATGCACACGCGTTTGGACACGGAGCCTGGGGTCGGCACTTGCCAACAATAGGTTTCGCTCGAAGTTGCTTGGCAGTTTGCTTGGTGATGACTGGAGCAACATGCAGAGCACCGCGATCTATGTAGATGTCGTGTGGTGCTCAGAGCAGGCCACCTTGCTTTTGTTTCAGCTGCTCTGGTTGACTCGACAAGGCAATGCTTTGCGTAATTGGTTGCTGCCTCTTCGTCTATCTGTCAGACATTTACAGGCCCATCTTTGAGTAGGAAGTTCCGGCGACCCCGCCCTGCCTGCCCTGCCTGCTTGCTGGCAGGCTGTGCCCTGGCTGGGGCTCCGTTCGAAGGTTCGACGGGGATGGCAACGAGGACGTCCTTTTTCCCCTGTTTCTTGTTCCCTCCCAGCGTCTGGCAGCACCTAGTCCGGCCAGGACCAGAGAGCAAGAGAAGACTTGCTGCAACGCGAGTTTGCACAGCATCAGGCCATGCTTGTGGCCTTTGTCACTGGGGTAGCCCGTTATATAAGTCTGTAGTCGCAGGCTGCAGCATTGGAAGGATCACCTGCTGCCACGAAAGTCTACGGCTCGATAGGCGAGGGGCGAGAGAGCTTGAGAGCTCGACGCTATTTCTGACACTGCACCGCCAGGAAAGCCAACTTGGGGCGTCCTGGAGGCACCGACGCAGAAAGAAGTTCTGGTGCAGCATCCAGCAGCGATCTTGGAACTGTCGTGTGCATTTGTGCAACACAACGGAGCAGTGTCTCGAAATGCACTGTGGTGGATTCGCAGTTGACAGCAGTGCTAATGACTCTACAGACATCTGGATGAACTAGCACCAATGTCTGTGGCTGTCGTGACGAATGGACTTGTAAGGTCTATGGAGAAGTGAAGGTGCGAGAAAACTTCGAGGAGACTCAACGCCTGCGACGAGAGTCGTCGTGCACGGCCAAGCACGACAGTACGAAGTTGGAGCCAAGTTATGTTTGAACGCATCAGACCCTGAAGTTCCTTCTTGGAATCAGGTGGTGGGCAAAGGATGAGCGGTACTTCATGGCGCAGTCGCATGTCTCGACGAGCCAGGCCTGTGTACGCACCGGCACGTAGTATGCGCTGGGCGCCGGCCCTTGCCGTCCTTGCCGACAGTTGCTGATCAATGAGCCAGCGGCGAAGCTGACGGGCAACGTCATGTGAGGCCTGCGTCTGGCCTGCTGTACAGTCCAAGTGCATCCTCAGCAGAACTTCTGCTGTCCAAGGAAGCAGCGGCAGCAATCAGACAGCGGTTTCACTCTCCGAAGATCGGGGACTCATACAGATACAGTCAGTACATGCCTCATCACGTGGTTCAGAGCCCTACATAGGGTGCGTAGAGAAGCGACCAGCAGCAGATGCAACGAGCCCTTCGAGATCCTGACGCGAGATCTGGATCTAAATCGTGATTGTTCTGGGGTCGCGGGTTGCCTGTAGGCGTGGGCTTGTGCCCAGGGGATCTTCCTGCTTCTGTTGTTTACCACTAGTGCACATCTTTGATATGGCATTCCATATTACTTTATGTACGCATGTGTGTGTGTGTGTGTCACATGTTCGCATGTGTATAAACAAATATCAGTATCTAGAAACAAGTGAATAAACAAATAGATAAGCAAATGAATCAAACATATATGTGCATATATATATATATATGTACATACCTATGTATGTATGTATGTATGAATGTATGTCTGCATGTACGTAGGTTTGAAGGCACGAAGGTAGGTAGGTAGGCAGGAGGTATGTATGTATGTATGTATGTATGTGTGTATGTATGTATGTATATGTATGGTCTCTATATGTGTGTACTAACACATGCACGCTCGCCCATTTGTGTACGTGCATGCTTGTCTGCCTGTGGCCTATTCCTCCTCGTGAAATACTCACATTCGCCATTCGCCAAGATGGGCTCAGTCAGCACGAAGTGAACCGCTAGCGACCCTTGAGTGCGAGTACTGATGGACTTAGATTGGAAGGCAGACTGCAGTTTCGGTGATTACTCTTTCCGGCGCCTGCCTTCGAAAAGGATACTTTCCAGGAGATGCATAGCAAGCATGGCTCTCCGGCGGACGATCTGCAGCCGAGGCTGACTTCGAAATCGTGCAGAGATCGAAACACGACGAAACTAGCCAAGCGTGACAACAAGGCACAGCAGAGTGGGAATCGAGCCTCTGGCACTTACAGAGGTTCGAAGTGCGTGAGGTTTGTGGCTTTTGTTGGTGCAGTGTTCTTTAGCGTCTTCGCTGAAGGCGATTATCACAAGCAGTCGGCAAGGCGCGTTCACAGTTGCCTTACTGATCCTAAGTCGGGTTGACCCTCTTGTGAAGGTTCGCCTCGGGCCGGGCCCTTTCCTTTCAGCCTTGTTCGAAAGCGTGCCGCTGCCACTGCTTCAGAAACGCACATGCCATTTGCAATGGCAAGGACAAAGCCGGTAAGTTTGCCAGGACAAAGCATCTCAATGGGCTTGGGCATGCGGCTCAGGCTGTGAGGGGCCCTTGGAAGGCATCCGCGGTATCGGATTCCCGATGCTGCCGAGGCAGTACAGCTGCTGTCGACGATGCGTCGCAGATCCTTCAAAGATTCTCTAGCTTGTGTCTCAGCACTTTGTGTGAAATCCTGGAATGCATTTTGTCTGTGATTGGTAAGCCCGCCTCTGAACGTACTAGATGCGAGGAGGGATAAAACACTCGTTAGGGTTGTGCCCTGTGAGATCCTCCATGAAGACAAGAAGCAGTCGCAGGTAGCGAGTTCACAAGCAACCACTCTCGTGCAGTGATTTTGCGCGGCAAGATTGGAGCAAGGCTAGTATTATGACAGGAACCGGGCGCTGTGAAGCCTGCAATGCCGGGCAGATGCCAATGGCATGAACTCGAGCTGCTGCCTTCGAGCAAGGGCCATGCATACTTCGAAGCTGCGCGGATCAATTGTCTGTTTCCTCTGCATGTTGCGATGCTCGCGGCTTGCGCTCTCCGATGATGCAGCCTAGGTTGACACAGGCTGTTTTCGGAGCAGAGCAGTTGCGCCCCTGAGAGTCGTAGACCCAGTGGCTCAGCAGCCGTGAAAATCGCATTTTGCATGTCACGTGGCTGTATCACAGATACGAGCCTGCAGAGACTGGTGGCGAGGTGAACCTCAAGCGGCATCTTGCTTTTCTACATCCGCCAACCCAGCTGCAGGCCAGTCAAACTTGAACAAGAAGATGCGAATGAGAAGCCAACTGCTCGTGCAGCTTCGGTCGCAAAGCCCTCGAGGTGGAGGTTGCCACATTGCCCAGATGCAGAAGCAGCTTTGCAAGCACGTCCTTTTCAGCAGAGGACGCGGCCATTCTCCTGGTGAGTGAAAGGTTGGCCAGGTGACATTTCAGACTGGTTATCCATTATGCCACTACCTGTGCCAGTCTTGCTTAAAGGACGAGGAGGAGAAGACCTACTGGAAAGTGGACTGTGACACTGGCAAGGTGAAGCTCAGCGAAGTTCATGGGATTTCAAGACCCTTACATTCCGAGCTTGCGTTGGGCCCAAGGAAAGGCTTCAAGTACATTGAGCCGAAGGTGGTGCCTCTGCGGGGCCCTTTTGGGGGCCTCGCCATCGCGCCGCCGGAGGAGGGCACCCCGGGTGCCGCTCCGGAGGGCACTGAGTCGGAGGAGGGCGCCCTCGCTCCGAAGCCCGCACCACTGCCACCCTGCTTACCAGGCAATGAAGCCTGCGAGTTCAGAGACACCGCTTAGGTTGAGTCCGTCTGCGAGCCATTGGGCGCAGGTGACAACCCTTTCTGTGGCCCTGATGACGACGACAATCCATTGTGCCATCCACCTCCACCTCCACCGCTCCCTCCTGTTCAGCCAGGACAAGAGGAACAAGGCAGGCACACTAAGCCAAGGGAAGGAGAGCCTCACGATGCCTCGAAACAGGCAATCCAGACGAGCCATCGGAGCCATCGCAAGAAGGCCATCCCTCACTTCTTTCTGTGTCCACTACACCTACATGCGAGCTTCTGAGGGAATGGCGAAGAGCCGGCAGCTGGAGCTGAAGGTGAAGGCTCCGTTTTGGTTCATGTCTCGAAGGAGTTGTGTTGCGATTTTTTCGGACGATGTCTTTCTTGGCAGGTGCAGAGACACAAGAGGCGCCTCCTGCTCCGAAGGGATTGTTGCCCAGAATGAAGTGCCTGCCTGGACAGGACAGGTGCCTGCTCCACTTCAACTCATCTACTCTGCCACACCATGGAATTGCTGTCGAATGACAGGACATACCAACGCCGAAGGAGCCCTGCCAAATCAAGCAAGGGCTCTGCTGCCACAAGTGCGCAACACGGGCGGACTGCAAGCTGTGCATGGAGTGGAAGGCCAGCTTTCACCGTTTTGCATGTTCTGCCGTCAGCCGCTTAAGTGTGTCTCGCATCGATGCTGCCTGGGAATCAGGAGGTGCTGGGTCAAATTCCGATTGATATCGATCGAAAGGCGCTGGGGGAACTTTCATTTGACAGCTACGCCGCGCGACGCCACCCCCAGGCCTGGGCAGAGAACATCTGCCCGCCTCCGCAGACACCTCAAGAGGCTGACGACTCCGAGCCATGGCAAAGGGACTCTTGTGCCTCTTGTCTTTCCTTCTGCACGTCCGGAAATCGCTCCGCGCCTACCTGACCCAGGATTTGCAAAAGGATTACTTGTTGCCAGAAGAGGATGAGAACGGACCTGGTAGTGCAGGGTCCTTGGGTGTAGACGATTTGTGAGCACGGTACAAGCTGTGCGAGCGCCGCAGACTAAAGCTTCATCGGGAAGCTTCTTTGATCTCTCGATTCAATCCGGGCCTGTCTTTTTCAGACTCCGGTGCTTGCGACGATGTTAACGAAGTTTGCAGTTCGCAGCCGTCAGAACGGGACGGCCTCACTTGTTGCAGACGAATTGGACAAATGTGTTCTTGGATGCATATGAAGCAGCCAGCACACTGTACTAAGCTAGCCGGAGATTCTTGTGTCTACCTCGTCAGCTTTGTGTGATTCATGCTTCTACTGCACTGGGTCAGTTTGTGCATGCAAAAAGTGTGGCCTACCTTATCTGTCAACGCGATGTCTGCTCGTTAACGAACGTAGCTTTCAGAACACCTTGCTGTTTGAGCGCGAGAAATGGCCGTTGAAGTGCTGAGCGGGCGGTTTGCCAACGGGGAAAGACTTTCGAGATGTTGGAATTTCATGTCAAGGTGGCTCTCGGCGGGGTTGCATCCGCCTGCGCGAAGAGCGTGCAGTGGCCACATTCGTCTCCAACCCACTCATGCTGTTTGTACTTCGGCGGCTCGGCGAGCCGAGTATCCTTCTTACCCCAAGGCTCAGTGTGCTGTCAACTGCCGCCAAGCGTGGGCCCACACCGGATGCCTCGGCCACAGATTTCTGTAGCGCCTGAGCATAGCATGGGTGGCACCCCGGGTTTGCGGGATCGATGCCATCCGAGTTTTGCAAGCAGATGACATCGGCGATCATGCATGTGTCTGTGCGTGGCAGCTGCATGCAAAATGCAATGTGTGAGCAAAGCATTTGGTGGCGCAAGCTTGACCAACACGCAGAATGTCGCAGAACCAGTGGCAAGAACACAAGCAGATCCACGCCGCACCTTCGTTGGATGTTCGCACCCGGCCGGCCTGGTTCCAGGGCGTCGTGACGGGATTGCGCAGGCACTTGACAAGTGATGCAGGAGGTTTCATGTCTAGCCCTCGTCCTACCTCGATGGGGATGCTAGGCCGCTCAAGTTTTCTAGTGACCTGTCAGGTATGGAGCGCGAAGACCAGTCATGGCCGATCCCACAAGAGGCGGCACCGCTGCAGGCCCGCTTAAGACTGTTCGTGATTTCGTGTGATTAGTCATGTTCTGCAATTTTGTCTTGTTCGATGCGCCCCAAGCTCAGTGCAATTGCTCGAAGGTCGCGCCACCTGAAATGAAGCTTGGCTGAAGTAGCTGGCCAATAAGAGGTTGAAAAACCTGGCATCCCTGGAGGTTTGCGCATATGTTCGAGGAAAGATTCGTGGCGCCTCTTTCCGCACTAAAGGGCTGCCGGGTTCACCCGCTCGCTCTGCGCGCTGTGAGGACCAGAGAAGGCGGCAGCTCTCCCAGGCTCGGAGCGGAGCTTCTAAGCTTCGCCACAGCCCGTCTCCGACTCCATGAGGGCATGCGGCATGCAGAGCCTGTCGACAGGTCAGTGGGGTTTTAATTTTCATGCAGTGGGAAGACCTTGAACCCCGATGGGAGGTGAACCTCATTGCTGAGAGCGCGGCCACTGGACTGACACTTGGGACGCCTTTGGCCATTGCAGTGCTGCTGGCGGCCATGCGCCTCATTCGCATATGTATGTATATATATATATATATGTATATCTCTCTCTCTCTATAAAATATATATATATATATATATTTGTTTCTTCAATTACCTCTACTGGCCCGCAGCACTTCAAAGGGTGCCGCCAAGGCTGTTCCCGAAAGCTTCTGGGAGCTGTGACCTGTTTCGAAGTGCGTGGTGGCAAGAAGCTTAGAAATAGTAGGACAGAGGACGGTGAAGTGTTTGAAATCACCCTCCGCCGCATCGTGGATATCACCGCGACAGCTTCAGAACAACCCGACCCGGACTCCGACAGTTCTGACTCTGAAGATGATGACAGTGATGGAGATGAAGATGACAGGGATGCGTTGCCGAACTCGTCAGATTTATCGGCTCCCAACACACCTCGGCACGGACCGGGGCCTTTCGGCCCGCCTCCCCCTCAGCCGGTCAATGCCAATCGAAGCCGAAGCCCGACCCAGAAGCATTCGTGTCCAGACCGGCGTTGTCCGTCCATAACTACGTCGTGATGCAAAGGGCCTCGTCCATGTGGCCTGTGCCGCGATCGTTAGGGTCAGTGCTGCGAGTCCCAAAGGGAGCACCACATCTGCTCCATTCTCCAGTTGTTCTTCTCGACGTATTCGGTGCACGTTGCAGACTTCGAAGCCCGTAGCGAGGTGTTTCGTGTGGACGTGGCCTCCCTTAGGGCAGTGCCACCGAAGAATAGGCATGTCGGCCTCTGGAACCCATTGAGAGCAACGGCAGGTAGGGCTCCGATGGTGCGGCACTTTCCATGAAGCCCAACCCCCGTTTTGCCGTAGCCGTCATCAATGCCTCCAAGAGAGGAGTAGCCGCTCTCTTCTTCGGGGCCTGCTTCGGATTCTCCGGTGTCCGCTTGTTTCGAGGATCCTTTTGTCTTAGGAGTGCTCTCTTGACCAGAACAGTGGGAATGCTGCCGACCTGTACACTTTGGCTCAAGGCCAACGATTGCAGCCGAGAAGGAAAAGAGGGTAGACTGCAGTGCATGTGCGAGCCGCTTCATCAGTTTCCGCTACAGTTGGTAGCGGAGCGCCCTGGTCGGGATGGCCGAGGGTGCTCGTGAGCCCACTCTGCGCAACATGGAAAACCTCGCCAGTCCTGCTGACTCCTTCTTGCCTACTCCTGCTGCAGGGCCTTCGTGGAGCGACTGGGAGTGGAGCCAGCCTTGGAGCTGGCAGAGCTGGTCATGGGGTGGATGGCGCGACGATCGCTGGCCCACCTGGGGTCAACGGTCTTCCTACGCAACGACTTCGATGCCATCCAATGACGGCCAGTCTAGGCCTCCTTCACAGTCCACTGGGGTGACTGTCGAAGGCGGCGGAGAACCCCCTAGTGCTCCACCAGATACCGCGAGACAAACAGCCTCTGCTTCAGGGACTCAGACGACTCTTGGAACCCGGTTTCTGTCTTCACCGGGAGAGCCGACTGCGTCCACCGCTTCACGACCTGAGGCCACCTCTTCAGGCGAACCGACCGCTTCTTCCGCAGCACGATTCGGATCTACCTCAACGGGCGAACCGACGACTTCTTCCTCAGCACGATTCGGAGCTACCTCATCAACGGGCGAACCGACGGCTTCTTCCGCAGCACGATTCGGAGCTACCTCATCGGGCGAGGACCCATGGGCAAGTGCATTGGCATCTAGGTCCTCTCCTCCAGTGACTTCAGGCCCAGAACCCACTTCAAGGACCTGGGAGAATCCGGGGTGGGACCGATGGACGTCGCAGTGGAGCTGGCAGCATGGCTACAACGGCGGCAAGGGAGACTACTCTGATCCTCCCGCCTGGCCAGGCTGGTCCTATCGACGTCAATGGACTCAGGCCATTCGAAGATGGGATAAGACCACGGACGTCCCCCTGTGGAAGCGGGCCGACAAGATTCTTCGCTCACTTGGCTGGGAAATGCAGTCCAGCGTTGATCACCTGACTGAGGCTCAACTCAGCTCCACCACGTACCTCGACGACATCCTCTCCGTGTTGGAACTCAAGGCTGGAGTTCGGGAAGACGATGAGCGGCGCCACGCCTTCAAGACGATCATGTACGACGGCGGCCGAAAGAAGGATGAGTCACTGGGGCAATATGCCATGCGGCGTCTCAGGGACTACAACCAAGCGGCCACCCACGGCATCAACATCCCCGCCGAGTTCAAGGCTTCCATGCTCCGGGAGGGTGCCAACATATCTGAGCAGACTCAACAGAACCTGACGACTCTCATCCATGGACGCGAGAGCGACGTGGACTTCGTCGCCGCCTCACTGGCTCGGCTTGATGTTAGGGCTGACCGTCTTTCGGGCTTCGTGCATAGCTCTCAAGGACAAGATGCCTCCTACTTGGCGGCCGAAGCAAACGATGCCGCTGCCGAGGACGAGGACGGTGGCTCGGACTCTGACGAGGAGGAGCTGGAGAACGCCGAGCAGTTCTACGCCGAGCTCGCCGACCTCGACATGGACGAGGAGCAGATGGGTTGGGTTTTGGCCACCTTGCACGGGCGTGGCTTCCACAAGCGCCGCAGCTGGAAGGAGAACAAGAAGTTCAAGGCCGAGGCCAGAAAGGATCGAGGGTCCTTTGTCAAAGGTCACGCTGCCGCTGAAGCTCCTCGAGGCGAGTTTGGCGGAGCTCCCGGACAGAAGACCTCCTTCTTCAAGCCGCGCGGCCCCTCGAAGAGGGGTCGAATGTCCGTCAACGAGCTGAAAAAGGTGACCAAGTGCCGGCTCTGTCACAAGCGAGGACATTGGTCTGCCGAGTGCCCGACTCACCGCGGCGGGACAGGTCAGGAGAACGTCGCACGAGTATCCGGCTTCTGCTACCTCGGTAACGAGATCGACTACCAGGAGCCCCCGACTTCCTCCTTTCTCGCCTATGCGACTCAGGTCATGGGCCACACGCTGGCGGCTACCTCCTCGTCATCATGGTCCTTCTTATCGATACCGTCCGCTATGGGAATACTCGATATAGGAGCAACCCAAGACCTGATTGGGACAACAGCTCTATTGTGCTTTGGAACATGAACTTGGGAAGAGCGGCTTACGAGTCATTGACATCCCTCCTCCTTCGCTGGCCCCCACTGGCATAGGAGGAGCTGCCAAGGTTGTGAGGGCAGTCCTTGCCCCGATTTCGCCTGGCGGCGTTCCGGGCGTCGTCCACTTTATTGTGGTCCAGGAGAACATCCCGCCACTCTTGTCCGTCGGCTTCCTGGAGCACCTCGGCGCCTCCTTCGACTTGAGGTCGAATGAGATCAACCTCCAGGCCATCGGGGTTATTCAGATGAAGATGCACTTGTTGCCGTCTGGGCATCGGGCTATCCCGTTGGTTCAATGGAATGCCCTCCGGCCCGAGTGGCGCATGGTCTCACAGAGGACGCTTTCATGAAGAAGCCCGATTCCAAGGCCTCCTCCACGTACGCAAAAAGTTCAGGGTGGTCTACTCGTACTCAGCCAGGATCTGCCCTAGGAGAGTCTTGTGATGGTCTTCAAGAGTTGACTGCCGTTTCCATGAGCGCCGATGTTCAACAGTCGCAGTCTTCAGTCCAGTGCATCGCTGCCTCGAAGCCACAGTCTGCCGCTTTCTACCAGTCAACCATCAGCAGCGGGGATTCCGAGCTCAAATTGTGTGTTGTCGATGCCTCCCTTGGCTCAGCTGTTGCTCTCATGGGCAATCGATCTGCCAATACGGCCCCCCAATTCGAACCTCCTCGTCGGAATGATGGATGCCCCGCCTCCTTCGGCGGAACCGACGGGGACAGCCGCAGTGCAGCGGCGATGGAGGATGTTAATGACCCGCGTCTTCTACATGTTCGAGACGGCTCGACTGGGATACCGCCGACTGGCGGTGGCCGAGACCACGACAAAGAGCGTCCACTCCGACCGCAAGAGCTATTTGGTGAGCAGCAATCAGGAGCCGGGCAAGTGCGTGCACCCGGGCGAGCCACTGCACCGTGCGAATCAGTATGCCATGTGGACAGTGTGTCGTCAGTGCTCAGCGAGGCTCACCTACACCTCCAAGAACAACCGAGCCAAGGCACGGCCT